CAGGTACACGTGCAGTATTTACGAGTACGAAATTAGGCTGAACGGGAGAATGTGATCGGAAGGGAGTATCCACCAAACGTTTTCACGGACGACAGGGAGGGAGGGGGGGGGAGGAGAATATCGTTTATCTATTCAAGGATGATGAGTATTTCCTTTTCCGTTTTACGGATTGAAAATGTGTGCGCAAAAAATGTTTAAGAACTGTTTAAACCTTCTGTTGTTACAAATCATCGAATATTCCCTTCAATACAATTCCACTCCGAAACATTTCAGCTGCCGTCATCTGTCTATTTGACAGAGATAAATAAAAGATTTGACTTTTTTAAAATAAAAAAAATATAATTTTCCTTGTAATAATAAGTATGTTGTAATATTTTTATGTAAAATATTTTTAACATAATTTTCACTCGACTTGACATACGTGTGCATATATGTCATAAAATAAAATAAATTCAACAAAAATTATAAATGTTAAATATATCAAAATTTTTATATACGTATAAATATAAAAATAAATTTGCAGTGATTTCAACACGATATTATCGTGTTTTTTTTTGTTATTATTAAAATAAAAAATCACACACATATATATATACACAAAACAATTAAGCCCTCTTCAAAAAATAGTAATAACTGAATATAGAAATAATAGAAATACTGAAATATACTGACATATTTTATAAACGATTTTTCCCATATAATTACATAAATTATGCAAAGGTATCAGAGATGTATGACTTGTTTATTTCAATTAGTATATACAGCTTTATATATAAAGAATCAAAAGTTTCAAATTCAAATTCTATTCATTCTTAAGCTTGCGTCCAATGTACGATTCATGATTTACCAAAAAAAGAAATTACTTAATAACTTAATAAGTATAGTTATTTTACACTAAGTTATTTTACACAAAGTTATTTTACTTAAGTTATTTTACAAAAATAAGTTATAGAATACATGTATATTGATTATACGTAAATAATCATTTAGTTGCAGATACTATATATATAATTTCCAAAAAAATGATATATGTTATGTCATTTTTTTTGAAAAATACTCATTCTAGAAAGAATTCTGTGTGGAAGTGTATTCGTGAAGTTGCTCAATCGCGTTTATTGTATCTCTCGTTTGATTTGTAAAGCATCATTCGCTTCGCAGCTTGCAAAGATATGCGTCACATAAGATGAATTGTTCAAACGCAGAAGAAAATTAGGCTTTCCCCTTAATGGAATATTGAGGGGACCGTTTAGCGAGCGATCATGCTAGGCGAGGCGGAATGCGTACAATCAGAATTTGTAGTTTCATGATGAAAAACGATTGGATGAGGTCGACAACAGCTCTGCTATTGAAGAACATCGCGAGAGCCTCTTCGAAGACTTATTCTGTCGGCGAATGAAAAAAAAAAAGGAGGATTGAAAATTCTTCATCAGATTAGGAACTGCTTCACGGCGATACTTACTATACATTTCGAGAAAGCCACCGATATTTCTTGTCACGCTCTAAAATTCCACGATACTAAATAAAGAGCGAATTTTTTTATTTCAATACTTTCCCCAGGCAATTCGATGTTTCGCGGTGAATGAATTATCCGGTATTGGAAAATGGTACGTTATTTACTACGTGACGTTACATAAAAATGGCTTCTCATTCGGGGGGGAAATGTGAAAAAAACCTTACCAGATATTTTTAATTCGCCCCTTTCTCTTTTCTGAGACATTCGCTATTTTAAGGAATACTGTAAAAATCAGCCTGAAAAAAATTGACCTAAAAAAAAAATCACCAATACAAAATTAATCGTGTGACTTAATAAGTGTTACAATGTAGTGACTTAATGAGTGTTTACAATGTAAAATTATGTCTATGAATCAAACTATTTCATCATATTAACATTATCCATCGCATCTCGTTGATCAAACAACGTTTATGCCTTCCGGTTAAATTTATTCTAATTATTAAAGATTACATTTACATATCGTTAATCAAGAGATCCCGTATCGGTTTTCTTCGGTTCAACGGCTTGGCTAATGCCCTCTCGATTTTCAATGTCGTTGCACTTTACTCCTAATGCGATGGAATTAAAGGTATAGAGTGTCTATACATCGTCGAGGGAAAAAGTGGTGAGGGAAAAAGACCGCGCTTCTCGCGATCTCCCAACTTCTGATTCTCGGAAAAGAAAGAAAAAATCGGAACGCGGCGTCATTTGCGAAAAGGTCTGGCGCGTGGGCGTCAGACAGTGCGAGAGAATTAAATCCCCGTCGGAGGAAAGTTGTTGTTGAAAGTCGTCGAGATAATGTACTTCCGACGGAAGTACGCATTCGGGGATAAGTCAAATTCTTTCGGATGGCCGGAATGAACGGACGAAATTTCGAGAGCGCATTGCGCGCGCTCGGCCTTTCTCTCGCATTCACAAAGCCGTGAAACATTCGATCGCAACAAAAGCGCACAACACACGTATAATGTCGATGTTTTGTCGCCGGCGTAGCTAAAATTTACTATGAGACTCGCGCGTATTTATCGCACGCTGATGAAGTGTCACTCCAATGTGCCGCTTGAAGTAACACGTTATACGTGAAATTTCATTTAAGCTGTTATAAGAATGACAGGGACTTTAATTTTTAACTATGCGCAACGACTTCGAGTTATTTATTTTCCAAGATTAATCTTTGTTGTTTGTGTCGCTCGCTTTAATTTTTCTTGCACACCTTCCGAATAATGCGAATTAAATAAATATACAGTAAAGGACGTTTCATTAATAAAATTTTATTTTTTCGACTTTTTTTCGATTTTCCTTTCGTGAAATATGAATGTGCGTGATACATGTTGCTGAAAACAAGTATCTTTTTTTTGAAATAAAATTTTGCAAATATTTGCGGTATCTCTGATTTGTAAATGAATCGCGCATTGAAACAAGAAGTTACGCAATAGGGGATTGAAACATATGGACCGAAGAAGCTGCTTTTTCCGTAGCTTTTTCTCTCATATTTGCAAAGCTGCATGGAATCGTAGAGAAACAGAAACCGCAAACGAATCGTAAGATCTTTTTTCTCTGCTGAACATTTTTCTCGCTTTTCTCAAGTAGTAGCTACATCGGTATGATCAGACATAAAAATAGACGCGTTGATATTTTTCTTTTTACATGGCTGTACAACGCAAAATGAAAGGTAGAATTTTACTCATATTATTATGCTACAATAACAACATAATAAAAATGCAATTCGGTAACGTAAATGTAATTAACTCGGAAAAATTGCTCGGAAAAACGTTAATATCTATCAGGCAAAATTGAAGTTTTGAATAATTTATAGGATGCATTGTAATCGCGAAGGTGAAAAAAATTTAATTGAAAAGAAGCATATATGACACATGATTTAATCGATGATACGCTTATAATGGTTAAAATGCCAACGTGAAAATCGTTAATTCTCATCTGTTTGCTGAGTTCACGTGAGACTGTGTATCGAAACTAATAGAGTAGTGCTAAAGAAGCCTCGATCTCAAAGTTCAGCGTGCAAACATTGACCTCGTTCCCAAGTGAATTAGCAACTTTTGAGGACTCGAGGGCAAGTTGATCATAACAATATGCTCACGGACGTTTGAGCATTTGATTTTCCTTATGATACGTGAAATATGCTAATTCAAGTAAAGTAATTTCTAAAACATTTAAATATATTGGAGAAAGTTACCCGTTCTTTATGAACAATATAAAAATTGATCGTACCGAACGCAAATTAAAAAATTGTGTAAACCTCACGCTGAAGAAAGTCACCAAACGATGAATAAACAAATTGGATCATCGAATAAACTCGAATTGTTTTCTTTTGTCATAGTCCAAAAATCGTTCTGCAAATATTTTGTATCCAATAATCCAATTTGTTTTTACGTCGATGTATAACTAGATCGGTCATTTTAATTTGTGCCGAAAGGATTACGGTAAATATTTACCATAAACCAACAGTCTCGGCGAAAAATGTTGACTGTTGGGAAATAAAACTCGTTATGTTCTTATAATATACATATCCTTTCCATTAGTTCTAGCAATATTTTTTTCTAATATATTACATCTCGACGAGGTATCGGACGGTAGTGTCCCAAGCGGAAGTCCGATGTGTCCTCGCGAGCGACATTTCGTCGAAGATACCAGTTTCAAACGTTCACCTCCATCTCCGTCAGGTGTTCCATCAGATGCTTCCATAGTTGAAAAGAGACGAAACTCCTGCTTTGTAGAAGAGAGAGAGAGAGAGAGAGAGAGAGAGAGAGAGAGA